CCTAATTTTTGAAACAATAGGAAATCTGAATACGTATGATGAAAAAAATGTCCTAAGGGAATGTTTGGTATATGAGTTGAGTTTGTGCAACTTGGATTTATATTTAGTATTTAAGTTTGTTAGATTAGGAATTTGTTAATTCTATTGGCTGCATAAACCTATTCATGCTATATAAATTACTTAGGAACAATTTTATACATTTAATATTCAATCTAAGTAAGAAAGAAAATAAAAATGAAGGAACCGTTATGGACTACTTGTTAGGAAGTTTGAAGGTTTTGCAAGATCTTAAATCACATTTCCACCCATGCAATAAATAATAAGGAAAAACAGAGAAAATTACATCCCATATTTATACAAGTTCCTTCAGTGTGGGTTGCGTCTTATTTTTTAAGTGAATGAAGCTTTAAACTTATAAATTTGTTTTAATTAAGAATGTTTGGTTGATTTTACTATCAGCTAAATCCAACTGTTTTTTTAGTACAATATGTTGGGGAGGGGATTCGAATTTACAACCTCTTGGTTAGAGGTATATACTAATTAGCGCTAAGCTATGCTCGTTTTTTACCAAAAAAATCCAACTGTTAGGCTTTCTAAAAACAAGCTTTGTTTTTCATATGGTCAAAATTGTATAATCTTAAAGATGGAAACTACTAGTTTTGTCATTATATAAAGTTTTAAAAAAAAAAAAGCTAAAACCTTGGAAGGTTCATAAGCCCATCTACCCAGCCCAAAATGTAAGGCCGAACTCTAGTTTTAACTAGTAGAACAAAAGATATATGGGCTTGTATTTCAAGGCATGAGGCCCAAAATTTTAAGTCCACATTGAGCCCATTATTAGCCCACTTCGCTGTCTTTAGTAAGAACTTTTTACTACGTTCTGCAGCAAATGGCATCTTTTGTAAAGATAACTCAACTCGTAATATTATCCCTAGAATTATTAGATTTCTTGTTTAATCGTAATTGATAGTATATATCTTTCGTTTTGGTTGAGATACATCTAAATGAATTAAATTTATCCAATTCATCAGCTTAATTTGGGTTGAGTGGTGGTTTACTCGAGTTTTCAAATTAATTTTCAACATAATTAAAAAGTTGATTTTGTTTTAGGACAAAAAGTGGAGTCATGTCTAGGAAATGGAGCTTAGATCGATTTTAATCTAAGAAAAATTATAACCGATTGGAAATCCGCCAACATTCACTAGAATGACAATTCTATTGTTAAAGAATCTTCCAATAGTTAGCAGGAAACTCGTCAAGTGACAGGTATGAACACCACAATGACTAAGCCACACGCCTCCATGCTCCGCTTATAAAAAGTGGGGTCTCGCATTCTCAAAAGTACCTGATCTCTAGCACTCAACTTAAGGTTCGCTCAAAACCCAGCTCAAACTAAGTCCTAACTTAAGTTTTAGAGTATATAGTATATGCATAACAGGTTCAAGGTTCTGTTTGCAGGTTGTCAATGGAACCACGCTCGAGTCCACTCCAAATTTCTTGCCAACATATCACCTCACCAGAATCACCATTCATCAACCGATTCGATTAAACATCAATGGTAAATTAACTACTTAAGATAAATCTCTTTAAAAAGATATATGTTTCTACACTGCTCTTAAATAACACTAGTTGGTTTATGTTTACTTATCCTAAAATGTATTTAACAAAATAGATGGTTGGTGACAAATAAATATTTTAAATAATTGGTTAAAAATATCATCATTTTGAATACTTAAAAACTAATGATTTATACCTTTAAAGCTAAAATTATAAATTATAATTTTTTTTTCCTCCCCTTTCCTAAAAGAAAAATACATTTGGAAAGACAAACAATAAAGCATATAATAATATTTTTTCAATGTGTAGCTCTTTATTTAGTAGTTATATTTTAGATGTGATATGTAATAATTTAGAAGTTTCAATGTGTTGTAAAGTTCTCTCCTAACCCTCCAATTTTATTATGTGACTTTGGTTAGGAAAGCAAATGGCCATTTATTTGAAAAGTGTAGGCAATTGCACCAAATATTTGGTATTGGATGCTTATTCCAACAATTTATATGCATTTTAGGCAAAGTATTTACCACTAAAAAGGTAATTGAATTAATAGCTTGTGTCAATTCAATTGCTACTCAAAATGTGAGTACTTCATATATCAATTTCATTTTTTTTGCCGGAGCTATCAATTTGTATTTTTAAAACTTAAATTTAATGTTGCATTTGAAAGAGAAGAAATTTTGGTATAATACTTCATCTAGCATAATTAAGATAAATTATTCTAGAAACAACCACTAGTATAAGTAAATCACACGTCTTAACTAAAAAAATCACACCTTAATTAGTGATTACCATGATTATAATCAACAAGTTAATAATTGATTATGTTAAACCACCATAGATGACTCTCATTGGTCTAAAGATGCTAAGGTTAATTGAGAGTGAATGAGTTCAAATCTCATGTCACCTATTTTAGAAATTAGTAATTTCTAGTCGAGGAATCCTCCCTTGAGATGGAGAAAAAAAATTGAGCATTAAATGAAAAAATGAGGATTTGRAAAATAGAAATCCATTTTTTTTTATTTCCTCAAAATTTCAAAACTATTTAAAATAATAGAAAACAAAAACTGAAATTAGTTATCAAACAAACTTATTTTTCAAAAACTAAAAACAGAAACAAAATGATTATCAAACTATCCTAAATTTTTATTGGATTCAGGAACTTTTTTTTAGTACGATATATACGAATGAGGATTCGAACCCCAATTTTATAGTTTGATATATATGCCTAACTTGCTGAGCTATGCGTTGGTTGACGATCATTCAAGTATTAAGTCATTTTTTTACTCTTTGCGATACTTTTTTTCATACGTTTAGGTCTTAACCATTAATGGCAGATAGCATTAATCGCATTTTAGGTACTATGTATGTGAGCTGTATTCATGAAAATTATAATTGAATTGGGTCAAAATACTAATTTGATTCCTATACTTTCAGTTTTGGTTTATTTTAGTCCTTATACTTTTAAAATGTTCGTTTTTGTTCCTATATTTTCAACTTTGGTTCATTTCAGTCATTGTATCTTGAAAATGTTGATTTTGGTCCTTATACTTTTAAAAATGTGACCATTTTGGTCATTTCATTTTATTTTAAATCTCATTTTTTCTATAACAATTTCAACACCACAATACAATCAATATATTTCTTAAAACGTAAACATTATTTTATACTAAATAGTTTCCATTATTAGTAAAGTTTGTGTTAAAATCTTGCAAGGAGGAACTAAAATGATCGCCTTTTAAAAGTAGAGGACAAAAATGACCATTTTCAAGTACAGGAATAACTAAAATGAACCATGGACCAAAATAATTTTAACATTGAATTATTTACTAGTTTTCGTATATTTCTGACAGATTCCACCTAAGAAATATGTTGCAAGAATGAATTTATGAAGAAAAAATAGAACACAATCAGAATAAATGGAGAGAAATATCAAAGTCGGAACAAATAAGGAGAACTACACAACATGATGTGAATGTAATACCCGTGAAAGTAGCGAAACTAGGTGCTCCAAAAGGCACCCTGTGGTGTTTGCAACAGTAAGAAATAAGCGACATCTGATAGCGTAATGACATCGAAGTTTGGACGGGATATTGCTAATGTTACATATGATTTAGTACATCTCAAATACATACACAAATGATTAAGACACTCTAATCAGGATTAAGACACTTTAATTAAAGGAAGATTAATCCTCTTTGCAAATGAAGAGGCAAAGACCTTCCCCTAATTAATTTAAGAGAAGAAATTTTTAAACCTAAAAGAAGCCTTGAAAGCTTTGGTCATTCATCATAATCATGAGAGATTAAACGCAGATCCTAAGGAAAATCTAAGCCTAGTCCAAGGCTGATATTATTACACGTGTTACATTTGAGTACGTGGAATCACTACAATTGGATACGAAGAAATTAATTATGAACTACAACTAAAACCAACAACCTTATCTTAATTACAAATAAGTCCTTTCGTAGTCAAAGCTCAAGTTTCATGTGTATTCGAAAGCAAAATGGATTTGCTAAATATATATGGTTATTCATTAATTAAGAAATTTCGGATCTATGGTTTCAGTTTAGTTATTATGATTTTAAAATTTTCAATTTCAAAACATTTTTATTGTAATAAGTTAATGGTGGTGTAAAATACAAGCATATTTTCAAAAACTAGAGTATAAAATGACTGGGGTTTTAAATATAATAATATTACAAATAATCAAACTTTGAATCCATAAAAAAAAAAAAAAAGCTTCTAATGCCTTGATTTATACTTGAGTCATGAGTGAAACTAACACACATATATATATATATATTTTTTTTCTAATAAGTTAGAAAATAAAGCTAATTTTATAACGGCTGAAAATTTGTGGTGGCAACGCCTTTTACTTTCTATAAGTGGCAATGCCATATATATTCTATAGGTGAAAATTTGCTATGTAGGATCATTTGAGGTGGAACCGTCTTAGCAGAGGTGATGACCTGTCCAAGAACTTGCACCCATGTAAAGTTGTATCCACACACTCAAGATGTTTAAATTAATATTTAGGTCAAAATGGCATTGAGTTGCCTAATTAAGATGATATCTCCTCCCTATTCTGGAGGGGATTCTGCTTTTTATAGAGAATCTAGGAAATGTGACTTCTAGTTGTCTATCCTGCCTAGAGCCGAGATGGGGGCTGCATTGGTTGTCCTAATATGACCGAATTGAGGTGTGCTCTCTCAAGAATGTGGCAGCCTTCATATGTGGACTGTTGCTTCCACATGACTTCGTCCCTGGAAAAAAGTATAGTACTCTCGTAAGATATCATACTCTCTTTTATTTACCCAATAAATGAAATGAATGGACCACACATCATTTTTTAATATGTTATAAAATATAATAAACAGTAAATACTCTCGTAGTATTAGAAATTTTCCTTCTCTTCTCCTTTATGAATCAGGTAGGGTGAGCTCCTTTATGAATCAGGTGGGGTGTGTTTCTCACCCTGACAGTTAATAACAACTTCCAAAATTAACATTTATTTAATTTTATCAACAAAAACTACCCTCACTTTGCCTATATAAAGGAGAGCCCTTGTCTTTCTTCCCTCCCACACTCATCAACCCATATTATTGCAACTATCAACACTTTCCTTAAAAAAAAAATACTCCCAATATCTTAAATTAAGCATTCCATCCCCATGAAAATATTACACCATCTTCTTCTCATTTCCTTGCTAGTCATCCATGGAAGAAGCTCCACTAATCTCATGTCTTGCTCCCAAACCCCATATCCAGACCTCTGCTTCCATTTCGTCAACCAAAACGACGACGATGCTGATGCCATATCGACCTTCGGCGACGAAACTTCTTATGTAACTCGCTTTCGAAACTCCGCCATTCGGGCCACTCTCAACCAAGCCATGACAACCCACGCCCACCTTCTCTCTAACATGGATTCAGATGCCTTTGATTATAGAGCTAAATCAGCTTTGGTGGACTGTTTGGAGCTCTACGAGGATTCGATCGCCGAACTCAACCGTTCGACGATCGACTCGACCACAATGGATCACCTGACATTGCTAAGCGCTTCGATGGCAAACCATCAAACATGTGAAAATGGGTTCCGAGATTTTGGGATTTCTTTTCCGTTTGAAATTCTCAGTAATTTCTCGAAATTGGTCAGCAATTCTCTGGCCATCGCCAGGGCCGCCGCGGGTGGTGGTGATAATAATGCAGCTGCTTCGGCCGAGTGGGTGGAGCTTGTGCAGGGCAGTGCGGCGGCGGCGGATATGGTTGTGGCCCAAGATGGGAGCGGCGATTTCAGGAGCATATCGGAGGCGGTGGCGGCGGCGGAGGTGAGGAAGGGAAGCGGAGGTGGTGGTAGGTTTGTAATATATGTAAAAGGCGGCGTTTACAGAGAAAATGTTGTGATTAAGAAGACGATGAAGAATGTTATGATGATCGGAGATGGGATTGGTTCCACCATCGTGACTGCCATGAAAAACGTCCAAGATGGATCCACCACTTTCCGATCACCCACTTTTGGTTAGTTAATTCAAATATGTGTGTTTATGTTTCTTCAACCAAATTTGTTCAGGAAAATACTACTGGCTCCTGTAAGAGCAACCAACTTTATAGGGCCTACTTTTAAATATTTGATGCAAAAATATAGATTTTTTTTTCTTTAATAGTTAAATTTTCAAGGGTGGTGAGGTCAATATTTGTTCTCTTACTTGAGAGCCAAATATTTTCCACTGGATACATTTTCCACCCTAACTTGGTATTTATGATTTTAAATGTTTCAATTTAATATTCATTTGGGTCTGGTTTTTAAAAAAAATAAAAAAAGTCTGCTGGTGTTGATCACAGAAATTTTGCCAACAAATAAATTTTTTACCGCATAAAAAAGTACACGGACTATTGATTCACTCATAAAAATCTATTTTACACTAAAATTTTATATATAATATTTAGTAAGAAATTTATTTGTTTAGTAGAGCTTGAATCTGTGTTTTGTTTATCACAAAAAAAAAAACTCACTGAGTTTTAAGAATTTTGATTTAGTCTCTATGATTTGGGTTTGGGTTATGTTTCAAATGGGTCCCTTTACAGAGTTCAAGAGTTTTAGTGTAGTAGTTTAAGGTGGAACCTCACAGATTCAACTCGATTATTTGTTATATGTTATTTGGTTAAAATACCATTTTGGTCCGTGCATTTTTTATGGTAATTTCAGCGGTGACCGGCAATGGGTTCATTGCCAGAGATATGACGTTCGAGAACATGGCGGGGCCGGAGAAACTCCAAGCCGTCGCGGTTCTATCGAGCGCCGACCACTCAGTTTTCTACCGCTGCAGCTTCAGAGGCTATCAAGACACATTATACGCCCACTCCAAGCGCCAATTCTACCGCGAGTGCGAAATTTATGGAACTGTCGACTTCATATTCGGCGACGCCACCGCCGTATTTCAGAACTGCAATATCTTTGTTAGAAAGCCTATGAGGAACCAAAAAAATACCGTGACGGCGCAGGCGAGGTCCGACCCGAATGAGAACACTGGGTTCGTGATCCACAATTCAGCGGTCGGAGCGGCGCCGGACCTGAAACCGGTGGAGGGTCTGTACGAAACTTATTTGGGGAGGCCGTGGAAGGCGTATTCGAGGACGGTTGTAATGAGGAGTTCTTTGGACGGTCTGGTTGAACCGGCCGGGTGGCTTCCTTGGGCGGGGGATTTCGGTCTTAGGACGGTTTATTATGGCGAGTTTATGAACACCGGCGATGGGGCGAGCACGATGGGGAGGGTGCGGTGGCCAGGGTATCATGTGATGACGAGTGTTGCGGAGGCCGGGAGGTTTACGGTGGATAACTTTTTGGCCGGAAGTGGTTGGATTCCGGCCACCGGCGTGCCGTTTGCAAATGGGTTGTGAATGGTGATTATGGAAGTTGTCATTTTAGTGGTGAATAAGGTCTGTTTGAAAGAGTAAAAATGGAAAGTGAAGCATATGCATGTACGTGAAAAGGGCTGTGTGATTAGGGTTGGGATTTTGTGTTTAGGAAGCAAGGAAAATAAATGAAATAGTATGCAGTTTATAATTTCACAATTTATTATAATGGAGCTGACATGAATATAACACAACACTTAAGGTATCTTGCTTCTTTTTTAGATGTCGGAGGTCCAATCTCCTATCCTCATATTTGTTGTACTTAAAAAAAGTAATTTTAATTGACCATAATAGATAAGACTAAGACTTAGCAATTTCAATATATTCATACTCGCCATCGTATTGTCAGACTTAAAAAACTATTATACCAAAAGGATTAGATTTTGTTGCTTCTAAAATTTACCTTTAGAAAATATTTTTACCCACACTTAATTTCTAACTAAAAGAATCAGATACAAGAAATAATGATGTCACCAGTCTCTCCTTTCAACAACTTTGAGTATAATTAAATAAATAAGACACAATCTAAAGGTCGAGAGTCCCGACCCTATTGTTGAAATTTGAAACAAATAAAAGGGAAAAAAAAGGTAAAAAATAAAACCACCCTTGACGTGGAAACCAAATATAATAGTAAGGAGCGGAGAATGATGGCCAACCAAGAGTGAGGTCTCTAACATTCTTTGCTTTCCATCTTTCCTCCTACCATCACTCCCAAACACACCCTAATTTGAAAAAGAAATTTAAGTAAAATTGATTTTCCAAAATCATCATTCAAGTGATATCATAAAATCAATTTAAAGTAATTTTAACCTTTCCTAAAATCCAATTTTCTAATTTGTTAAACATAATCAATGTATAGGGAACAAAATCACTCCCAAACAAACCCTAATTTAGTACCATAGGATAAGAAAACAGGAGGAAATGGACGTATGTGTGAAACTCTAAGAAATTTGGTAAGGTATGTAAGACTCAAATATATGAGTAAGGTATAGAAAATAATGGGTAAAACCCCATAATTCGAGTACACATATATCTATAACTTAGTCACGCTTCATATGAAGCGTAAAAGATTATTAGGACAATCAATTCAAAATTTATGTAGGCTAAAATTTCCCGCCAAACAAACACTCTGGAAGCACTTACAGTGAGATTTTTAACACATCTCGCGCCACCGCAAGACTAAACTTATTTCTTCAAAATCATGGTATTTATGTAATGACGGTAGGAGCAGATCGGCCAGTGAATTCTTGCATTTTTGAGAGTTTAAGAGCAACTTCCACCTGAAACCAAGATATATATCTGAGTCGAATACCCCGAAAAAAAGGTGGATTTTTACAGTTTGTTTATCAAATAGGAGAGAGATCTAACCAGAGGTGCAAGAGCTTCTTGAGAATCTCTCCCAGTTTTTGATGGATCCTTCTCGTATTGCTCGATGTAGAGCCGAATTGTTGCACCTTCTGAGCCAGTTCCTGATAGGCGGAAAACCTGCAACCAGATTGAGAAGGTTGAGAATATATAAATTGTTATGTTTGCTAAATCGTGCTCACAGTTTTAGAGATTCTCTATTGGATCTTCCAAATTATGAGGGACAAGAATTCAATTAATTCTTGAACTTTTTACCAGCTCCGGGGGAAGCACATCCTGATTAATATCCTACATACTGAATAGGAAGCTCTAAAAATTGACTTACCAGTCGTGAACCATCCTCGAACAAATATCGAATGCCCTGGTGCTTTGAGATAGAACCATCAACAGGATCTTTATATTCAAATTCATCACCATGGACAACCTTTGACACATCTGAACGTATTCCCTTGACAATTCTGCATTGGATGCCAGCTTTATACATTAAAAGAGTGGAAGAAAAATATAATAAGAAAGACTCTGTGTGAACAACACACGAGACATGATTTACATAAATAAGATTTTCAAATTTAAACAAAAAACAAATTGAAATTAGTGGCAATTGGATTTGCTCAGCTGAGTTTCAACCGAACTAAGCTGTTTCTCAATGGTAGAACGCTCCTTTCCTTGTCACCCCCTGGGAATGTTACACTTCATCTTAAGCGAAGTGCATTCCAAAAATTATCTCCAACAGTCAAACGTTCAATACCCTGGGGCTTATCATTTAATAAATGGAAAGAACCTAAAAGGGCTGCCATATTGTGGGACTGCACTAAAAAATAAAGGGTATCTTATTAACACTTAAACCACGAATCAAGATCGATACCTATGACAGCAACAGCAACATCAACAAATGCCAACCGCACATAACCTAGATAACTAGTTCACTTCCAAGAGGCAGAATAAACACAAAAAGCATACCCATTAACTTCAGCAAGCGAAGATTGCAGCTTCACCAGATTGGCCATTAGTTCCTTTGCTGCTCCAACGTCAACATTCTTAAAAAAGAAAAAAGAAAAAATCATTCATAGATATGTTAATTACAGTTATCACATCGGCATCTTCGAAAATGTAAATAACCGAAATAATACCTCATAATCATATCTAGTATAATAATGACGACCATAGGTGGCCCAATGTTTGCGAACTATGTCTTCAACTGTCACAAGCTTTCCACCATCAAGGTTTCCCTTGTTTTTATAAGCAAGAATAGATAACCAAGCCAAAACTGCCCAGATTCCATCTTTTTCACGAATATGGTCGGATCCTGTTCAAATAGGTATTCAGAAAACAAAATCAGCTTAATACAAAATTTTTGCACTCTGGAACGACCAGGCATTCAAACAAATTATAAAAATCAGAGGCCAACCAGTTCCAAAACTTTCTTCACCACAGACGGAGCACATTCCTGCATCCATTAGATTCCCAAAAAATTTCCAGCCAGTGGGCACCTGGAGTATATATAGTAAGAAGAAAATTACTTGTTAGCACATAAGATGCAAACTGGCAGCCTGCGTAATTCAAGATAAAAGATTTTAAGTCTAGAATTGACCTCAAAAAATTTCAAGTTCAAGTTTTTGGCAACCACATCTACTGCAGCGGAGGTTGGCATGCTCCTATAAATATTACAGTTAGAACACCAGCCAAATGATTATTCTAAAGGAGTTCTAACTATTCACATTTGAAATTCCCTAATAAACATACATAAAAATACATAAAATTTAAATTCCATTAGATGTCCACACCTCCAAAGTTTGTTGATTTCTTCAGCAGTAGATTTACATTAAAAAAAAAACAGGTGATTCATTCCCCATAACATGGTAGAGCTCCATAATCATAATATTTAAACTAACTAAATACATTATGCAGTAACCAAAAATAAAAACTACCGTGCCTAGTTATCAAAATCTGTCTGTTTTTTTTTATATCCGTGAGTGTATGGACTAGCTTGCGCGCAGCTCGACTAATCTCACGGGACGGTACAATCATCTCCCTACTGCATTTTGTTGCCAAGATAACTGGTAGGATATTAAATCCTAGATAGGTGGCCACCATGGTCTGAACACATTCCCTCTAAGCCTTTGCCATTTACATTGGTCCTTATTGACCACTAGGCCACACCATGATGGTTATAATCGGTATGTTTTATATAAGATCTTCTAATGGTTTAGTTTCTTGATTCACTAGTTCATTTAACAACAAACTTCAGACTTTAATTACCTCGAAACTTTAACTGAATTTTCAAATTGAACCATGGGTTGAATAGAAGCTCAGAAGGAAAGCAATTTTATACGGAAAGTAGCACCTGGCAACACCCTTCAAACCAGCAGAGAAGTATGGTATAGCTTCAACAGCATTAGCAGCAATTATGGCAACAGAGTCTGAAGGAGTGACAAAAAACCTGAAAAAAGTACAATAAATAATATAAAGAATACTTGAAAAGGAAATGTTATCACTTATCAGAAATATACTACTTATTAGGCAATTGTACACTACCTTTTACCAAGGACCATATTGCGATCTGCATCACCATCAGCAGCAGCACCAAATTCCGGGGGCTCTTGTCCAGATTTTGATTTACCCAATCCCATACGATCAACCAATTCCTTGGCATAAGTCAGATTGGGATCAGGATGACCTCCTCCAAAGTCCTCCTGTTATATGGTTCAAGAAAAGTATAGAAGTAAAGAATAAGATTTAAGAAATAATCATATAATGAAAGCCAAAAAATATTCCCAAGAAAAGATGACCTTAGGTACGCAGTTCAGTAATGAGCTTTCTTGTGCACCAAGCTCTTCCACGAAAATACGTTTTGCATAAGCTCCAGCAACACCATGTAGAGCATCATAACTTCAAAAGGTAAATGTCAATCTTAGTATTTAAGACCATAATATTAAAGATTACGTATGAAAATGTTAGCGTTCCCCTGAAACGTATTCCTTTGTGAGGCTCTACATACCAGAATGAGAATTTGGGAGAGGATAGCAACTTGCGGATAGATTCAAAATCAAATATTGACCTGATAAATTAATTGGGAAACAGCGGTAAGAATACTGAAACAGCAGAGCACAAAAGATTATTACAGAGATGATTACCCTTAATGATAGAAAAAAACAAAAGCAATTAACCAAACATCCAAAAAAAGAAAGACCAAGAAGGATTGACACCATCAGACACTTTCTGAAGTAGATGGGATGCGGTTATCAACCCCTTATATAAGAAGTTGGGGGGCGGGGGAGGGGGATTTAAAAATCATCTAATTGAGAACAAAGTCAGAAGAAAAGGTAAAAATGCCACTATCACAGATTAACAAGCTAAACAATGATAATAATTGATTAATTAGTGCTGCCTCATTACAAATTTAAACAGATGGTATATGAAATAAAACGAATCACAAATATCTCCGTCAGGACTCAAGAAATAAAGGAAAATAGGCAACAACAAAAGAAATAAATTGTAGGAGAAACAGCAATTAATGATGATATGACATGCTGTCACTTGTCACGAAGAAAGATGATAAATGATAATATTGATCAATAAAGCTTACTTCATCAACTTCACATAGTCACTGGCTGAATCAAAAACCTCAACATCAAATTGTCCTTCGGGTCCACTAAAGCTACTTACACCTACTGCAGAAATATCCACCTAGGCCAGACAAGGGTTGATAAGCAAGAATTAAGTTGTGATTATGTAGAAGTTAAAAAATGAGAGAGAGTGTGAAAGTACGTTGGGTATATCTTCAGCAATTAAGTACTCCTTTATTGATGTTGTGTTTTCATAGATCTTATCAGTGATTCC